GAATAAAGTTAAATACTATATTTTTTTTCTCACAGAACATGCATAAAATAAAATATGCACCTTGTTTTTTAAAGGCAGAATGAAGAAGAAAGATCTTTCCTTGAGATCCTTTCAAAGAGGCAGGTGGGAGACAGAGATAGAAGGGAGAAGAGAAAATGTCCACAGCCAACAGCTAGAGACCTCTGCATGCAGCATATGCAGCCTTTCCCTTTCCTCTAGCAGAGATTTAAGAACAGAAACTGCTGTTACCATATTTACTTAATTATGATATGCACCCCAATTTCCAGCAGCTGCATTTTGTCTATGCAAGAAATATGGCATTATCAGCAGGGATCCTGGTTTTCTCTGTTAAAAAATCCCCAATTTTTGGATTTAGAAAAGCAGCCCCAGATCCACATTTTTCATGATTAAAATGAAACACCACTACATATCTCTCTATATATATTAGTGGCTTCATTTTAATCATGGAAAAATGTGGATTTGGGGTTACTCTTTCTAATCCAAAAATTGGGGATTTTTTTTTTTTTTTAACCACAGAAAACCAGGATCCCTGATTGTCAGCTATCTCAGAGTGGACAGAGCAAAGTCCCCAACACGGGGGCTATACCTTTCACTTTTCAATAACTTTTTTGCTCAGACCCCAGAGCAAGGAGCACACAAATCCTCCAAATGCAATATTAATTATATTTTTTAATCTTAAATTCTTCAAAATGATTTATGAAGCATCAGCTTACTTGGATTAAAATGCAATAAAACCTACACTCAGAATTAAAATTGGTAATATTTGATGCTTTACATGCAGGCACAAATGCTACTCTGCCTAATTGTTATTTTTCACCACTGTTTTTACTACCTCACTTGACAAATCACTATCCATATTCTCTTCAGTCATTCAATTTAGCTTCTACCTTCCTTTTAACAGGTAGTTTGGCTAAATCCTATTGCACTTTTCATGCCTAAATAGCAATTTCCCAACTGCGTAAGGGTTGCTTTTGGCAGTTACAGTCAGTTTCAAATTGTATATTGAGTGCAGCGTGAGCAAGCAAACATCCCCACACCCACTGAGCATGGTCAGTAGGGCTGCATTTTCCCCAGGCAGATAGATGGCACTATACACTTACCCAAGTATATGTGTAAGGTAAGCTTTAAAAGTGCAGCTTGGCAAAAAATAAAGGACTAGCAGTTGGGCAGGGGCTAATGACTTTAAAACTTGTCCACTGTAGTTGGGTTTAATATTTGTTAAATAAAATGAAGGGAGACCAGTAGAGAAATTTCTGTCCCATTTGGAACAAGGGTCCAGGCTAGAACACAGGGGAATCCATAATAGCATCTATTTCGCTGAGCCACATAACCTCTGGCTTATCCCTTCCTCCTCAAGAGAAGGGCTGGAGAAATGGCTGATAATGCCTAACCTGTGGGATGATGGTTCAAGTACAGTCCCGGAAAGGAAGAAATGAAGGTTCAAAGCTCCACTCTGGGTGAAGGGGGCATAGAATTTGGGTTTCCAGCTTCCTGGACTAGTCTATGGAGGTAAAACATAGGAGGATTTCCTCCCTTGCCCCAGTAGGTAGGTATGTAGGATGAAACAGAATCTAAAACTGTGCTAAAGTGTCAAAAATAGCAGTTACACAGCTGGGTAACTGCCATTTAGGCAAGCAAATTGAATTAAGATTTAGTGCATACACTCCGCCAGCAATCAAAACAACATTCATATTCTCCTAACACTGCTTCTGTAAATAAAACCAGTGAGTTCCCAGTAACTTTTTATACTGATTGATCCCACTGAAGAATCTGTTACTATTAGGGTTAAAGGTATAGGAAGTAGGTTTGGTGCATACATGTAGAAAACCATAATATTAATCAAAATTGACATTTAAACCTGAGAAAGGTAACGATACCCAAACTTAGATTTTTCTAAATTAATCATATTTTCATATTTAATAGCAAGTTATTGCTAACACTCCATATTGTGTTTAAAACAAAACAAGATGTATATATGGTTATTTCAATTTAAAGGGATGACCCTATTTTGCATTTTGTTTCAGAACAGTATCATATGTTGTTTATTTTGATGGTGCTCTGATTAAAAATACATTAAATCTTCCTTACATGACTTGGATTCTGGTGACGGTGGAGAAATGTTGGAAACAGCAAGGTCACTCTTGGACTTTTTAGGCTTCTTTGCATTAACCTGCCAAGGCTTATCATAACTTCTGAAATCTCTTCGTGTTCCTTTGTTTTCTGTTTGAAAGCAATACAATCAGAGGATTACATTTGCCTAGCTATTTTTCAAGATAACAATAAACTTAGGCAACAATATACCTAGTTTACCCAGACAAACCAAAGTACCAATGGAAGAACACAGATAAGGTCAAGTTTTTTCCTCTCTTTCCTTGCTAAACAATATCAGTGCAAGACTATAGAAATTACTGCTTGTTTCTCTTCACATTTTCCTTGAGACATTTATGAACATGCCCTTGATTAAAAATATAGCAGCCAATCGTTAGTGCTGTAAAAGAAGTTAAGGTCAATACTCTGTTCCTGACAGAGAAGCTTTAGTAGTTCTAGAACTATGGTGCTTACACTTAAATGTTGATATTAATTAAACGTGTGTTCACCAAGCAATTGACATTTTAATTGCCAGCTGCTGAAAGAGATTTGGTATAGTCTAGTAATGAGTGTCAGTCAACTTTTGCTACAAAATCACAGCAAACACTACCTTCCTTGAAGGGTAGAATTTCTATTTTAAAGTTAGAGAACAGGCTATTTAACTTTTTTTCCCCTTTATTCTGAAAATCTCAAAACAAATTCATTACACGAGGATCCACATGGCTACTTCCCATTAAATGTTCATGGAAATCAAATTAAAATGTGCATTATTACAGCCTAGCCCTAACCTAAACTATTATATATTATTATTTCTACTTATGCTATAGTTCTTATAATTTATATATTTCATGTTGCATTGTGGCCCCTTTTGACTTGAACACATAACCAATACTTGAGATCTTGGTGGGTTTTGTACTAGGAGGAGAACTAAATGATGAAGCCAGGGGTTTTATGTAATCCCGGTCCCATAAGAATGTACATAGAGTTATTTTTCCAAAATATAGTAGAAATCTAAGAACAGGAGGCAGTGCCTTTGTTCACAAACCTCACAAACCAGCTCAGAAGTCCTCATTCTTGGATTTCCTCTCACACTTGTTATATTTGGCTGTTCATGCTCTCAGACATATAAATCCTCAATCACTCACTATTAGGGCTGTGCGAAGCTTTGCCAGCTGTTTCCTTTCAAGGCTGTTTCGACTCGTTTCAAGCTCAAAACAGCAAAATTGAAACAAAACAAAGGGCTTCAAAACAGCTCAAAATGAAATGAGGCCGGTCGAAACATTCTGAAAGTTTCAAAACGTTTCAAGTTTCAAAGCAGCAGCCAGGTGGTGGGAGGCAGGGGAAAGCCAGGGCTGCACTCCGAGTGGCTTTGCAGCCCCATGTGGCTCAGCCTGGGGTGTAGCGCAGCCCTGGCTCTCCCCACCTACCACCACCGGGCTGTGCTCCATTCAGCTCCACCAGCCCCATGGAGCTCAGCCCGGTGACAGGAGGCAGGCAGAGCTGGTGCTGCACTCTGCCTCCCACCACTGGACAGAGTTCCGGAGGTGGTGCGCAGCCCCAGCACTGCATGCCACCTCCCTCTACCAGGCTCAGCGCCCAGCGGCTTGCTGCCCAGTGGGGGGAGATGGTGCACAGCACCAGGTCTGCACGCCGCCTCCCTCCACCAGGCTCAGCACCCAGCAGCTCCTAACCCTGTGGAACTGAGCCTGGTGGGGGGAAGTGGAACACTCCCTCCACTGCGCTCAGCTCCCAGTGCCAGTCCTAGGTGGCAGTGGCAGCCTCCCACCCGCACCTCTGCCTGCAACCACAGAAGGCTGCTCCTCCTCCAGTTTCATGCTTATCCATTATAGCCTATGGGTGAAACATCAAAACAGTGTCAAAACAGCGAAACTGTTTGGACAAAACGAAATGGAACAGCGCTTTCAAAATGAAACTAAAATCAAAACAAAACACTGTTCCATCAAAACAGAAGTCGAAGCGAAACAGCGCTGTTTCACACAGCCCTACTCACTATTCGGTTTCCTGTGTACTCAGAAGTTATTCTTGGATGAAACAAAGAAAATAGAAAAGTGAAATTTTGCAAACTA